TATCTATAAGCATGTTAACTTTTAAAGATGGGTCATTAATAGATCCATTACTTTTTGCTGGTCTCGGGAATTGAGCTGGAATCCACGGATCCTCCCAAACTGAGATGGAATTCCCAGATCCGACTCTTTTAATAAGTCCTTTATTTACCAGAGATCTAGCTGAGCATATACTCCGCCACCCATACGATGGGGAATATGACTTTATATTTTCCAAAGGATTGGATTTCCTATAATACCGCCCTTTAAAAACCCTCGCAAAGAGAGAATCCGGAACCGTGATCAACCGCCACAACTGTTTTGCAAGTAAGGCCGAAATAAAATCATCGACTTTATATTTTTGCAACTATTCTTTTTCTGAAATTATTTTCAGCTGATCTCATTGTATATATTTTTTTTACTTGAATAATTAATTACACATTAAAAAAAATGAAGATGGGTCGAAGATGTTCTAAGTTTTACTTTTTCTATTGCTGCAGTGAGATGATAATGATAAGTATGTAATTAATGATTAAAGACGGCATATAATATATTTTTTTGTTGGATTTCAATTTTGAGCAAAAAATTCAACAAATTCAAACAATATAAAAGTCAACAGAAAAAATTTATTTTTATTTATTTTTAAACTAAAAAAACATTTATTATTTATCTAAACTTTATTCAACTAACAATAATATAATATAAATCGTCAAAACTAATAAAATATAAATTTTACACTAAAAATTAAAGATATTATCTAATTTAAAATATATTTTTCTTTCAAAACATCAGAAATTAAAAAACAGAGGAAATTTTCTCTATAGGACTTTTGGTTTGTTTTGTTGCAATCTAGTACGAATACTAAGAACAAGCAAGTGTGTTGAAATTTAATTTTATGGAGACTCAGTCTTAAGTATCACCCAATCAACCGTTCGATGTCATGCGGATTACTTAAGTTAAAGAACTCGAAACTCTATTGAAAAGTTATAGAGCACATGAATCGGTTAAGTTCAGTATTTCGTATGCAAATGTGTAAGTGCGAGTGAAGTAAGATAAACTTGCAGAAAATAAAAGAGACAAATTAACGAAGTTCGGTTTTTCTTATTCTTCGGGACCAAGTCCAAATTTTGATTTCACTAGAACGAGAAAGCAAATACAACCTATTCGTAAACGCGTAAACCAAACACAACTCTCTTGATTCAGCGCTCCGTTCTATAACGTGAACTTGTAAGGATAATCTCTATTTTTAACTAAACTCCCATGAGCCTAAATTTAATCAGGATAACATAACCCTGAGCTAAACTCCCTCTGAACCTAGACTTCAGTCCTCCAAGTATCTGGAACAACCGTCACACCAACGATCCCAACAATGACACCAAAGCACTCCAACACGTCAACAGCACCAACACACAAATAAATTTGATTACACAAGCACCAACCGCAAAACTAAGTTGCAACACAATCTCCGAAAGCTCTCTCGAATTTGTTTTTATGCCTTAGCTCTCACGGTCCTCCAAAACGTGCACATCTCCTCCATATATAGCCAACATGATTTCCTAATCAAGATAGGAGAATGTTTCCAAATTCCATAAAAAAAAAAAGTAAATTTTCCTTTTACATTTTTTATTTTTCATATCAAACTCTACTTTTCATCAAGTATTCTAAAACTTTTCTTTAGTCCCTTTTTATCTATAAGAATAAATTATAAACCTATGTCCGTATTCTGCAGTAATAAATTAGGAGCGGTAGAAAAACTTTATCCGAAAAATCGAAAAGAATGCTCGTTTTAGTTTTGTTTTTCTTTTCAAAACACAAAAAAAAAAAATAAAAAAAAAATAAAAAGTTTGTGAAAAACAATGATCCTAAACTTCTACCTAAAAGCTATATGATCAATCGATGATTTGTTTCTTGACATTGATCAATATTTTAGAACATCAAAACGGCCGACTTTGCTATAGTCATATTATCTTGGGCTTAACAATAGTTGCCGACATTTTAGAATAATTTTCCGGTGTCACTAATAAAACGGACCAAACTCGGTTAAACAGCTCTAAAATTTGTAAACGATGTACTCCCTTCATTCTTTAATAAGTGATAAGTGATGTTTTAAGCTTCAAATTTTGTTATTAAATAGATGATGTTTTTAATTTTCAATGCAAAATTAATTATTTTTTATTGGTTTTAACGATTTAGATTTTATAGATTGTTTTTTCATTGATTGATTAGATAATAAATAATGTTTTAGTTTAGAGATAAACAAAAATTACATAATTTTTTAATCTATGTGCATTCTCCTAAAACAACACTTATAAAAGAATGGAAGGAATAATTGTCAGCCTTTTGCGGCTTGAGGCACGTTTCTTACGTTTGTAAACAGTATATCATACTAATATACTCAAACGAAACATCGTATGCCACTTGGAAAAAGTTTATATCAAAATAAATATCCTATGTTTTTGAAAGAATCATAATTTTCAATTAGTGGTAACTTCCACTGTATATTTCAATTTGGATGGTAGTACAATATTATTAACACAAAATTATTTACACGTTGAAAGTAACACCTTTTTTTTTATGTGCCCAGCCCTACCTACGTGTATAAAATTCAGTCTTATTCTAGATGTGAAAAATATAAAGAATTTTTTTTATTTAAATTGTTGAAAATTTGCTGTAGAAAAATATATATATTTTACTTTTCTATAAAATATTTTGAAGTAAATATGACCACTCTAAAAACATTAATATCAAAGATTTATTCTTTAAAGTTCTAGTTGCTTAAAATTTTAGTTAATGTAAATTTGTAAGAAATGTTCATATTAAATATATGTGTTGCTTCTATATAATCAACCTCCCCCACGTAGAAGATCTTTTAACTCATATTTAGAGGGGGAAAAAAACTACTTTTGGTCATTTCACAACCAAGGAATCATCAATGGTAGAACAATCTAATCTATCGAAAGCACAAAAGGTATCTCTTGTGATTTGATGCTCAAACTCTTTATATGGACAACAACAGCAACGATGAGGCTAAGCACACCGTTTATATCAGTTTCAACAAAAATGATTCATCAGTCTCCTCTTTCATCAGCTACCTCATTGCTGCTTTCAACCGACAAGGAATCATCTCTGCGTTCGTTGACGGTAAAAGCAGCCATGATGAAGCTGTCGAGAGGGAGATGGGACCTGAAGAATTCTCCAAATTAAGGGTGGTGGTGGTGGTTTTTTCCAAAAACTATGCACTTCATGTGTCATTCTTGGAAAAACAGATTCTCGAGTACTCATACCGTAACAACAACGACTTTGTGGTTGTTCCGGTGTTCTATGGAGTCAGTATTTCGTCCGTGAATCAACATATGGAGAGGTTTGGTGAAGAGTTTGACGCAATCCAAAGATCGAGGATTAAGTGGCGACCAGGCCATGAATATGATTGTAAACGAAGGTATAGGCTTTAATTAAAAAAAAAAAAAAAACGGAGGTACCTTACCTATAGGGATTACAAATAGGCCGAGGTTTTCTTCTACCAACTAATATCTCTTTTTCTAATCATAGACCTAGAATTACTTAATTAGTATATCGTTCTAAGAGAGATATTTTCCCCTTGAACACACAGAAACAAACCAAATATTATTTGTTCAAAATTTCAAAGTTCACATTTTTTTAATATAGAAAAAAATTAATATTTTAGGGAAATTCTTCTATTTGTAAAAGTCCGTTTATAAATATTTTTCTGCCTAGTTCCTCAATGTATTATTTTGTTAAACAAATCGATTACTTTTAAGTACGCTTTGAATTAAAATATTTAGATCAACTTTTGTGGATTTTTAATAATTAATTTTTTAAACACCAATACACCATGCATGGCCGTGGATTGGACGGTAAACTACATGGGAGGGTATTGCACACCTCGTCAGAATAGTTTAGGTTATATTCTTTACTTCTTCTTTTTTTATCGCAAGTATAATCTTTTTTTTTTTTTTGTCAAACTCGCAAGTATGCTATAGTCTATATAGTTTATTGAATCATACGATTTGTTTTAGGGACTATATTGTGAGAAAGGCTAAATAGATCGTCAACTTTCCCTTGCTTGGCATGCTCTCATCAGTCTTTTGGTTTTATTTCTTTGGTACAAATTTTTAAAATTGTCTTACTAAAACATATTCGGCCGCAGTATACCCAGTATATATAACCTTCTTATCAAAAAAAAAGAAAAGAAAGGCGGTTATATATATAACCCAACTGGCTATTAAAGAAGTTATAAATCCTAATACATATCTTGAAAGTTGAAATACAATCCGAATTCCATTGCAATGATATTTTTCTTATTTTAATGGCTATAAAAGAAGATCTTCAAGGGGAGAGCCTTGCTTAACAGCTTGATAAGTTCTGGATTAAAAATTCTATACACCTTTCTTTGAAAATTTAAATACATATTCCATT